AGGCCAGGATGGCTTTATGATCTTGATCAGCATGCTTAACGTCTCTGAGTTCAAGTTTTAATCTATAAAATGAAGACTAAATGAGACAATATATGTGATATTCAGTACAGTATTTGACATGTAATAAATTTAATAAAATGAAGACTAAATGAGACAATATATGTGATATTCAATACAGTATCTGACATGTAATAAATTTAATAGCTGGGATTTCAACAACTAAATAATAGATAATTGCTATTATCCTGCTTTTAATTTTTCACACCATTGTAAAGAATGTCACATCAACATCATTGTTCCTAACTCTTTGAGAATTTCTATTATTAAATTCTAAATATAAACTCTTGGAAGTAGAATTGCTGGGTCAAAGATTATATATTTTTTTGAAAGTTTTATATAAGTTGTAAATAAACACCCTAACAGTTTGCGCTTCTGCCAATAGAGCATAGGTGTTCATAGGTCTCTGCTCCTTCCCCTTTCTTGCCAATACTGTGTAAGGGAAAAGTTATATTTTGTTGTTTTAATACATATAACTTTGAATATTTTGTTGATATTAAAAATATAATTAATGGTCATTTATCGATATTCTTTTGCAAATGGACTATTTATATTCAATACACTTTTTTTGTTTGTGTTTATCCTTTTCTTAACAATTTGTAAGATTTTTAAGAATGCTCTATTTATACATATTGAGCAGTTTTCCAAGTTTAGCATGTTTGGAAATTTCGTTGTTTTTTTTTAACATGCAGGAATGTATAATATTTATGAAGTCAGGTCTAACAATCTGTTACTTTAACTATTGTGGTTTTGTGTGTATAGCAAGTAAAACATTTTAAGATGCTATCCAAAGAAATATACTTAAATTTGCGGTCTTTATTAGGAGGCAAGAATTTAGAGGAAAGAAGTTTAGTATTTAATAATTCAAGCATTTGAGAATATGTATTTTCTTAGTACTGTAAAATCAGGTTTAGGTAGCACTTTTGAACTGCGTTGTGTGGACTTGGGGGGCGGGGTAGGGAGAAAGTTAGGGGCACAGAAACGTAATGAAAGTTTTTAGTATCTGCTTTTTGCTAGACATTGTGCTTGGTGCTTTAGGTTGCTAAATCATTTAATTCTCAGAACAGCCCTATGAGATCAGTAATCTACCCATGTTATGGTTTCCCTTCATTTGACAAATATTTGTTGAGCACAGTATTTAGACTTCATTTTATAGAAAATGAAAAATAAATCCAAACTGGTCTATACATAAAGAGAGTTTATTTCATCGTGTAAACTGAAAAGGTCTAGCAGTAACTCTAGCTTCAGTGGGAGCTTGACCCAGGGGATTTTGTATTGTTTGTTTGATTTTTTTACAGTCCAGAAGGTTCTAACTGTAAAATAGTGTTCTGCTTTCAAAAGTAACTTTTTAACTTGATATTGTTATTTTTAGTAAGGACTCAGACTCTAATGTGCTTATAGGGTTGGCCCTGCAACCTTGAAATTGTTCATTGATATAGCCAAGTCTTTGCAATGAGGCTTATGGATGACTTATGGTGAGAGTCACCGGGACTTTTATTCTGCCCTAGTTGGCAAGTTCTCTATTTCACTGTGTTCTTTTTTAAAAAAAAAAAACACAACAACAACTGTCATTACTGAGCGAGTAATTAAGAACATGAACCCAAATTTCCTTTGAAAATCATTTTACTGAATTTAGATTTGGCAAGAACCACATATTAAAATAATTCACTCAATTTCATATTTTATCCCCCCAGTAAATCATCATGAATTAACATCATCTATCACAGATAAGCTGAGATTACTCCCCATAAAATGTTATAATTGGAAACATCTCCAGATTCAATTGTCATTTTCAGATCCTGGTTAGGTGCTGAGATTCAGAGGTGGGTAAGTCAATTGTTGCTTTCAATGAGCTTCAATACAGTGAGAAAGAGATTTGTCAGAGAGTGAATCTCCATAGCATGATGCCAAGCTCTATGGTGAAGCGCAGATATGCTTGAGGAAACGGCAGAGTGCATCCAGGGAATAGGAGTAGTAGAGTATTGCAGAAGACAGGATATGGTAGGAGATTAATTGGAAAGACAGACAGCCAGATCCTCAACGGTCTTTTCTTGAAACATCTTGTATGTCATCTGAAGAGTTTATGAGTTATTCTGCAGGTGATGGGGAGCAAGTTGAGGTTTGTGGCCTGGAGCTGGATTTGATCAGTGTCCTGTTTAAGGAACACAGTTCTGATAGCATTTTGAAGGATCAATAATTGAAGATAAGGAGGGGAAGGATAAGGAGACAGTACAGTACAATAACCTAGGGGAGGGAAAGTGAAAACCAGAAGGTCTGAAGGAAGACGATGGCAATGGAAATAAAAGTAAGGATTTGAAAGGTCTTGTCCAGTTGGGGTCAACATTGCCTCATTGTTCATGGAATTATGTGAAAGACTGTTGATCCATTCTGACCTCAAAATTCTATGAGTTAGTCTTCTCTGACCACAGAAGAACCCTATACTCTCAGAAGAGGGCATTTTCCCACAACTCTAAGTATATATAAGAATGCTTCAGACATATCTCTACATATTTAAGAAGTGAGATCATCTCTCCCACCCACCTATTATATCAGTTGAAATGAAGATAATTACTTAAGCACAAACTAATTTTGTTTTTGTTTTTTTTTGTGAGTTTCCAGTTTGGAAACACAGTAATGCTTATCACAGTAGTCTCCCTAAATAGGAGGCCTACACTTGTGCTTTATAGGACAGCACATTCTAGTTTCTGTTCACTGAGCTCAGAATAAGAATTTAATAGAAAACTGAGAAGTAAAACTGTGAGAAAACTAGAGAAGGAAAGGAAGCAAGATAATCAAATGACATGGTACAGACGATACTGAATTGCCATATCAAAATAGAAGATACTGACTTGCTGAATAAATTCTTATTGTTTCCTAAGTTACAAGGATTTAGAGTAATTGAAGAAATATACTGTGAAGGAAAAAAGTAGGCTGTCAGATACATGGATATCATTGTTGATTGCATGTGGCAGGTATGATGAAAAAAAAATGACATACAGATGAAGAACATGCATTTCGCAGCACTAATAGATAATATCACATATCTTATTCCTAACTTGTAAGTATATCATTACTTATATTTATTTCTTTTATTTGCCAAACATTTATATGTTGCCAGGGATGATAGGTAGGCCCTGAGCAACAGATGAATGGATTACTCTGATGAGATGTTTGTTGTGAAAGAGAGGGCTAAGGGACTGCCTGGCTAAAGGAACCAGACAGCCTCAATTGCCTGCCTCGTTAGGCTTTTATTGTAACAGCAGTTTGAAATAAAGTTTATCTTTTAGATACAACCAGTAGGGTAAGTAATATTGGGAGGACACATGTGTCTGTAATGTCCTTTAAGTAAGGACACCTAAAGATTAAGCATAAAGATTCCAGTAAACTCCTGGGGGTCTGCATGTACACAGACCTGTTTGGAAAGGTCAAGGGATAATTAGGGGCACCACCTTTGGCACTCCCCTAAGTCTCACCTAAGTCGGAATCCCCATAAACAAGGCAGGTGGCCTTCCACACACTTCTCCTCCTTACAAACTTTCCAATCAAGTCTCATGCTTCCCCACAATATGTTACTAACATTCACTCGATAAACCTCATAACAACTCCATGAAGTATGTACTTTTATTATTCCCATTTTACAGATGGGGCAACAGAGAGTTTAGGCAATTAGCCCATGGTCACACAGCTGGTAAGTAGCTGAGCCAAGGAGTCAAACCCAGGTATCCTGACTTTAGCATTCATGTTCCTAACTAGACACTATGCTGCCTTTCAATGTTTGAAGATGGGAGAGAAAGAAATGTTCTTTAATACTATGGCTTGATATAGAAGGACCTCAACAGAACTCTATCAAAGATTTGTGTATTCTCATAAGTGTAAATGCAGGCTAAAAGAAATCATAGCATTTACAGTTGTCCATTTCCTCTATTGCTGATGGTTAATTCATTCATTCAGGTTGTTAGGTATTAGGGATGCAAAGATGAATTAGGCATGGTTTCTACCTTTAAGAAACACATAGTATAGAAGGGGAATAGAAGTGCCATATTAACAGTCTTGGATCACTGATCATTAAATTTTAATGCAACTGATTATATAAATGTGAACTCTTCACATTTACTCTTATTAAAATATATTATGACAGCCCTGACCAGTTTGGCTCAGTGGATAGAGCGTCAGCCTGCGGACTCAAGGGTCCCAGATTCGATTCCGGTCAAGGGCATGTACCTTGGTTGTGGGCACATCCCCAATAGGGGATGTGCAGGAGGCAGCTGAACGATATTTCTCTCTCATTGATGTTTCTAACTCTCTATCCCTCTCCCTTCCTCTCTGTAAAAAATCAATACAATATATTTTTTAAAAATATATTATGACAAAAGAAAATAGATATAAATCATGCTGTATATTCTTCAACTCACCTTTATCATACATTTAAAAATTCTGAGGGCCCACACACATCTGAAAGTTCTGATTATGTGACTTTCAACCTAAAAGCTTTGACCTCTAAAATTCTATGATTTATTCCATGATCTATCTATACAGGTTTTTATTTTTTACCTAAAACAGTAAAATAAAGGTGAGTCTCTTCATTCATGCCTAAATAGTCAATGATATGTTTAAATTGTTTTATTTTTCTCCTTTTTAAATAGGAATTTACTGACTGACAATGGCAGAACAAATTGTAGAGAAGTTAGAAATTCTAAACCAGCAAGCAAAGATACTCTTGGCCAGAAGAATAAAGGTTTGTAAAATAAAAGCTAATATTTAATTTAAGTATTAAAAGGTTGTCATTTCCAATGTGAATGATTATTTTTACTTTTTAGTTAATATGAAGATATAAATTAATTTGCAAATAACAAATGAGTATATTGAGTCATCTATGCAAGTGGATACTACAAAGAAATAATTAGATATAAGGTAACTTCTAGATAGGTGACATATTAGCTTATGATATATTTAAACTGCTTGAGATACTAGGCAGGCAAATAGTAAATGTGACACCTGTTATTCTTACTAATATGTTAAACATGTTAAAAATTATTTACTTGGTGCCTGACTAGTGTGGCTCAGTAGCTAAGCATTGACCTATGGATCTGGAGGTCACAGTTCAATTCCCAGTCAGGACACATGCCCGGGTTGTGATCTTGATCCCCAGTAAGGGGCATGCAGGAGGCAGCCAATCAATGATTCTCTCTCATCATTGATGTTTCTGTCTCTCTCTCCCCTCTTCCTACCTCTCTGAAATAAATAAAAATGTTTTTAAACAATTATTTACTTGGTTTATTAAAAGGAAGAAAATATTTGGTATTTGGTATAGTTACCAAATTAAAAATAAATAAGACTTATAGAAATTAATCTAAGTAAAAAGGTAAGACTCCTATAAAATTCAATAAATGAAGGGTGATAAAGAACAACAAACAATAATAAATCCTCACAAAATAGATTTTTAGTACATATGAACAATTTAATTTGTTTACACAAAAACTTGGAAAATAATACAACAATGTGAATAAATGAGGCATAGATAAGAGCATGCAGGAGAAATCCAGGAAGACACCACAGAGAGGAACTCAAGTGAACAAACCTCTTTATGAAGGTGGATTGCCTCTCTGCTTTATTAATGACCAAGAATGAGATAACAATATGTAAATCACTTTGGTAATTGCTTTTTCTAAAAAGTAAATCTTTATTGTTCAGATTATTACAGTTGTTCCTCTATTTACCCCCATAGCTCCCCTCCACCCAGTTCCCACCCCACCCTCTACCCTTACCCGCCCCCCCTCCACTGTCCACATCCATAGGTGTACGATTATTGTCCTGACTCTGCCCACACCGCCTCACACTTCTACCCCTCACCCCAGAATTGTCAGTCCACTCCCTTTCTATGCCCCTGATTCTATTATATTCACCAGTTTACTCTGTTCATCAGATTTTTTATTCACTTGATTTTTAGATTCACTTGTTGATAGATATGTATTTGTTGTTCATAATTTTTATCTTTACCTTTTTCTTCTTCCTCTTCTTAAAGAACACCTTTCAGCATTTCATATAATACTGGTTTGGTTGTGATGAACTCCTTTAGCTTTTTCTTGTCTGTGAAGATCTTTATCTGACCCTTAATTCTAAATGATAGCTTTGCTGGGTAGAGTAATCTTGGTTGTAGGTCCTTGCTA